GCATCCTCATCATTGAATGAAAATCTTCTCGATATGAACAATATACAATGAATGGTTATATTAATCAATTGCAAGTATCAAGTGGAGGGAAAATAGCTTATCAAATTTTAAATGGTATCACGTTTACTTCCTATTATGCACTCTGATTCTTATCGTTTTCGGCTGCTCCACCAGATTATAAAATTCCAACATAAGTCCTTTTCTAGCTGCGTATCAAGGCATTATTGATGAATAACGAGTTTACAATGAAGAACTGATTATCATGAGAAAAGACATATGAAAACATCTATTTTGATTACTAGACAGAAACTAAACTATGAATGTTTCAAGAATCAGGTTATTGACGCTATATGGATAATGAATGGAAGAGAATATAAACTGTTTTTGAAAATGATTGATGATAGTAGAAGACGGTTACACATTGGTCGTTGTGGCGATAACCTCTACCTTCTTCTTCTCCTTCGATTTTGTCGTTGACTGACGAGTAAAAGCCATGAGTACGAAATGAAGAAGAGAGCTAACTATAAAGCTAATACCACTAATGACAAATGGAACATTGAAACTTGATGTGTAATCTTGAATCGCACCCATAATCTAAATAAAATAGATAAATGCATTTTGAGAAGAGAAAATAATCGTAAAAACGTACTGGTGGAGCAATCAACGAAGCAATACCTCGGAACATAAAAACTAAACCCAATGCACTGCTATACTTTTCCAGACCAACCAATTGACAGACAATGACTGGAGTAAGAGAAATATGAAAAGCTAAGGAAGAGAGAATGGTATGAATCGAATCGTTATGGAACAATGAACAGTACCGATAGCACCACCCCAAACAATGCAGTAACTGACCAGAAGTCGATATGTACTACAGAATGGAACAAGTAATGTGGCTACACCAGCAATAGCTAAGCCGAGGTTATTGGCCAGTAATGGAGTAAGATAGGGAATCTTTGTTAACCAACCCGAAGCAAAACGAACAGCAGTATTACTGAAACCTGTAAAAATAGTAGATAGAGTGCAGAGAAGATAAAATTGATCTACCAATGAGTGAGAGAAGATAGACAGCATTGTGTTCTGGAATGTTTCGTTCATTGATGGCCGTTTTCATAATGAATAAATATGGAATATAAAAGCCAATCATTGAGCAAATATTGGCCTAGTGCAACTATTATTCAATATCTTTCATCGTGTTTTCTCGATTCACTTACTAAACAAAGTATACTCATCTTTTTATCATTTAACACATTAATATTAGTCATAGCGAGAAATGTATCCCAGAATGCTTTCATTGCGGTTGGTTTATTTGTCTCAGGTACTTTGGTGGTTTCTTGTACATATGTTTCCAAATCTGGTTGTGCTCGATATTCAGGGAGTTGTTGCACATTACCAGGATAGAGAATATCTTCCTGATACATCCTATTAAAATAATTTTGTGTCAATTCTCCAGGAGAAAAATGATCTAGCTCATAGAAAAGAACTTACGGACGAATAGCATCTTCCGCTTTAATACTTTGTCGCGACTTGGTAGAAACAGCCGAATTAGTTCGTGATCGATACTCTATTACCGTTTCCAATGTCTTCAAATACTCATGCGAAGGATGGCTATCACTGTTCTTCTTATTCTCACTGAGCAATGCAGATGTGGCCTGTGAATAGAGAAAGAATGATGTTTTAATACACTTCTTATCGAATACAATATACATAAATGACATACCGATGAAGCAGGTTCAGTATTAGCATCTCTAAAACATTAATATGCTAATTACATAATATTATGAATGAAAGAAGGATTTACGAAGGTTGTGTCGGGTCCAAAATCCGTCGTTTTCGAATTGGTTTAAGAGGACGCATAAATGCGGCACATAAAGCACAGCCTGACAGTATGCAGGCAAGAATGAGAAGACCGTATTTCCAGCCAAGTTTATCGAATAAAAAGCGTGAGAATGGTCCAAATGTAATCGAACCAATACCCGTGCCCGCAGTAACAATACCTTATAACAAAAACAACACCAAAATAACAGTATATCCTGGAATATTTCGTATTTGTTTTCTCTTACCGGTAGCAATGGCACGTTTTTTCTCGAAATAATATCCAACCATGACAATACTCGGTAAATAAACAAGACCCATGCCTATACCACCAATAAAACCGAAAAGTAACCACATGAAACGTATACTCGGTGCATAAACTGATGCAGCGACTGAAAGTGCAGCAATGATACCACCAATCATACCGATGGGTCGACAACCCCATTTATTACTGAGAGCAGAAGCCAATGGGGCTAAAATATACAAGAAAAAAACAAATCACCGTTTTTCATACGATGAACTCCAGTAATATGGTCGAATGATTTACCGCTAAGCAAATAGCAACTGCAAGCAATTGAAATGACCAGAGACACGGCCCATTCTTGACAGGCAAAGTGTTGTTTAAGATCGTCAGAGATCGCACCAAAAGCGTAGAGAAATCCGTCGATAATCATATTGATGAGCTAGAAGAATCGAGAAGAGATAGTCACTTGATCAGAAAAAGCCTAGTCTGATCATATCGTTCGATCAACTAACGAAACAAGCAATCAAGACAACCCAACCAAAGCCACCATCGGGTGGTACTTTAATATAATCATATTCATCATCATCTTCTAATTCTTTGGATTTCTTTGTTTTCACTTCTTTCATCTTCATTATAGACAGTTGACTAAAAGAAAGAAAAATCAGAAAAAAAAAATTCCAAAACCATCCATGTAAACCATGATCACATGTCTGAGCAGAGAAAATACTAGTTAACTGCTGCCTACTTATATGTCGATTGCCAAGGACTGTTGTAAACGCTTTGTAACTCGATGCTTTCTTATCAATTTTTTTTCTCGTTCTCTTGCTTCAATATCAACGATTTGCACAGCTCGATTTCTCTCTCACGACCTTTGTATTTCATTCAAATAGAATCGTTTCTCTAGTCAATCAACGTTTGCTTTTGCCTCTCTATTCTACAAGCAAAGTTTTCATGTAATTTGATCGTATTGGTCGATGACATGTGGAACAACAGAGTTCGCTTTGCGCTTGAATGCACAACTTAATCTAATCTAAAGAAGGCCAGTACTGTGTTTCTTTTGAGAAAAAAAAACAACGAAGAACACATGTTTAACTTGCTTGACTATAGAGTCGTATCAATCAAGTTTCGTCGAGTAAAATAATAATTTCGATGTAACTTATTTCACGCTTTTCAATGCATTAAATTCATGAAATGAGTTGCATTACCGAGTAATTACAAACATTATCTCACTAAGTAGCTACAGGAAACGAAATGATTCAAATCTGTATCGTATATGCACCGTGTATTTTATATTTGTTCGATTTTTAATCGATCAAGTCTTGATCTGAGTTTTAATGAGACACCTGCTGGCAAGGGCAAGGAATACGAAGGGTGAGACACGACATTGCTTAAGCTAGAGATTCAATTTCATTGAAAAAACGGCCATTATATTCCTAAGAATATTAGTGTATCTCTGATCGTATATCGTTAAATGTGCCATACTATGATCGAATTACATGCAGAAACCGATATATTAGCTACCAAAGTTTAGCGTAGTAAATTTCATACTAACAATGTTTCTTCATCATCCTTTCATTGATCGATTCTAATCTTATTCAATCGAGTTCTACCTCAAAAAAATGTTTGAATTATCTTGAAGATGAGGGTGAGATTAATGTATTTATTCACTCATCCTCACACATGTACAGTGACGATAGTGAAGGACACGAAAATAAAATTGGAAGGAAAAAAAACAATATGCAAACAGAGAATGAGAGTTAATAATAGTTACACAAAAAGGATAACAAAACACTAAAACAAAAGAAATAAGGAACAGAGAGAACGTTTTGGAGCAGATCACTATCCTGAGACAAACTTAAGAGATATTGTTGTAGTTATTCAATTTTCCAAAGACTGCTGCTTGAATTTTAGGAGCTTCGCTTACGTTAACCATGTCAATTTGTCTTACATAGTCTCTCTCGCTATCATCTTCCATGACCAAAAAGCACATGAGTAGTGCCTTTAGCTTAATATTGAACCTGCTGAATGAACGATGACATACGGATGGAACTTGTTGTGATCATGAATCCTGAATAGCTTCAGTTAAAATTCTTTGCACTTCAGCAACGGATACATGATAAAAAAGAGCTAAATGTAGTAATAACGTTGCGGCAGTATGGCGCCGCCTCAATGCCAACGAAGACTGAAAGAGATGGAAAAGAAGATCGATCGATCGATCGATGGTCTGATACAAATTGCAACTTAGTGACTAAATCCTGATTATGTGAATATTCTTCTAACGTATGTCGTACATATTTCATGAGGCGCTAGTACATTTCGCCGCACGACACTTCGTCGCGTTCACTTCGTCGCGATCATTTCGTCGCACGATCACTTCGTCGCATAACACTTCGTCGTACGACATTTTGTCGCAGAACATTTTTTTTCATTCTGTTTGTCGCAGAACAATTTCTTTCGTTCTGTTCGTTGCAGAATAATTTTTTCTTTCGTTCTGCTTCTTGTATTTCTGTTAATTAGTCCTGTTTTTTTTTGATAACTAGTCAAAATAAAATAAAATAAATGAAAAACTCTAAAATATGGGTACAACAAGGACAGACAATTGATTGCTCTAAAACGTATGACTTGAATTCGAAAAATAGATCGATAAAAGGTCTTAACCAAATGTAATTCTGAGACAGTTAAAGTCAGCAAAAAAGAATTATATTTGTCATTATGTTAATGAATTTTAACATTGACTAGATCAACGATAACATTGCCAGGACGCGATGGATCTGACTATCGGATAGCATCAGTTCTTATCGGAGTCCTTAGTATTGAATTCTATTGGAATTCTTGGAATATGACGAGTTGACTTTGACCTTGGTACATATCCAACGCTCTCCAAATTAGTTCTTTAGATTGTTTTTCCCTTTAGATTAGTTTTCTTTTTTCTTTGGTTTTTCTTTTTTCTTGCTTTTTCGTTTCACTTTGTTGATGGTTCTGTTATGTACGATACATAAAGTGAAGATGAGTTAAATTGATCAATTTGATGTTTTTAAAAAAAATAATTAAGAGGAATGCAATGAACAGAACGAAAGAAAATTGTTCTGCAACGAGCAGAACGAAAGAAATTGTTCTGCGACAAACAGAACGAAAAAAAATGTTCTGCGCCAAAATGTCGTACGACGAAGTGTTATGCGACGAAGTGATCGTGCGACGAAATGATCGCGACGAAGTGAGCGGTCACCATTTCATGAGCATTGCTATATATTGAGGAGAGATCTCTTCAAAGCATGCGTATACCCTTAAAGAAGCATATTGAGAAGGCGAACATAATTTTTTTACTCATTTCGTAAAGGCCTGTTTGAAAGACTTTCTCGTCTATTGAAGTCTGACGAACAGCATGACGGAATTCATTCGGTATTTCTCCACAAATGTTTTCTGCCACTTTCATATAATCTGGAACACACAAAAAGTGATCCATTAGAAAAACTTTCGTACATAGCATGAATGAAGTATGGCAGCAGGACTGATGCATGTTTGATTATCCAATTGCTTGCTCGGTTGCAACAGTTTGTTTTGTCTTTGCTTTCTACAATCTCGGTTGTATTGCTCATATAGGAGTGGTAAACATAGACCATATCGTAGTTTTCTGGCTCTGCACTGATACGTGAGAACATACTTGCTAAGGTCGCTTGCCGAATACATGATGAATCGGCATATTTTCTCAGATAATCAAGACTTTTCAACTCTTCTTCTGTGACGCTTTCATCTTGTTGTTCGACGTAGAATGACCAGATACAGGTAGCTCCAAGTTCATCCGAAAATTCTTGTTCATTATTAGCTATGATTTGCCAAAGTAGACTTCGAACTTGTTCCTTATCTCGGAAACAAATTAGATTTCTTGTGACAATCACTTTAGTTTTGACATCGGAGCAATTTAACATAATTTCAATCAATAGTTCAATAGATCTTTCACTAAATTTCCGAAGTTCGTAAGGAATATGTTCGAGAAGCCACTGTAGAAATAAAGAATCGATTGAATGTGTTAAACAACTTGACAGTGACTTTATCATAGTGAGAAGATAATCTGCCATTTCTATCGATGGAGATCTAACCAATCGAAAGAACGACACGTCATTAGAAGAATTCATTGTCTTTTGAAAACTTTCGCGTTCCACTTGCATAATGTGTTCAATGTCATCGATTGTTTGTATGTCAAAAGTATCAAAGAGATGTTCAGCTTGCGAGAGCCATTTTGTCTCTTGTTCGGTCCAGTGAGAAAACCAATTAAGAATTATATTGGTACCTTTGCTTTTCAGAGCACCATTTTAGATGCCGAATTAAAATGATTGCTCTATCACGAAGATGATCACTTTCACTGGTCAGTAGTTCACAACATATTTTTATGACCGTTGGTGTCCACATTCCGGATGAAGCTAATAGAAAAGTACTTTGTTAGCGTCAATAGAGGTCACTATATTACCGCTAACTTTCCAGTTGTGTTCTATTGGATTATCCTCCATTCTCTAAATGGTCAGTGTGTGTTTTTCTCTGGACATTCCAGTGATTATCCTTCTTGTTGTTTTTCTCTCTCCAGTTGGTGTTGATTTTCCTCCTCGGTGGTCGCAAGTTGTTTTTCTCTTCCCTTATCTTTTCCCTTCCTATATTGTTCTTCATTATTATATTGTTATTATTATTATATGTTTATGAATATATTCATATTAATAAACCCATATATATATATCCCCAACTCATTTATCTTATTATCAACGTAATCAAAGTCAGTATGATTATTTACTTCATTTACGTTAGATCTCTCGTTCCCGTTGCAGACCGGGATTAAATATACTGATCATCTGGCCATAACCGATAGTGTCAGGCTAGAATCACAATTTCCCCCAACGAGAGCCTAACATACTTTGATAGTCAAGCCATTCAAGTACAACAGGGGGGTACAGATTCACTGATATCTGTTTTCTTCAGGAAGGCTTGTTCAATTCGAAAGACATCGATTTCTGTTAGAGGCGTTCCGGAAAGAACAGCAGATATCATTGTTACTGCTTCAATAGTCAGCAATTTCGTTGATTCCTTCTCAAGCACTGATGATAATCTCTCGACTGTAGGGCGATCCGCTCTTGTACGAGAAAAATCATCGAGAAAATTGATATATGAAGTTAATTCTGACAAATACATACTCATTAAAAGAGTTGCAGGTATTTTTGTCATATTTGACGTTGAGAAACACTTGGTAGCGACATATTTTGAAACAAGAGTATTCATATAGTGATGAATCACACTGGGTGTGGGTGTGGGTGTGGGTGTGGGTGTGGGTATGGGTGTGGGTGTGAGTATGGGTGTGCCAGACAACAAACGAAGCCCACACCCGCACCCACCCCCACTCCCACACCCTTCTTAATTATCGTCAATCTTTTTTTCCCAGCACATAGCTAAGAGTCTTCTCTTTCCAGTGGATGCCGAAAAAGAATCGTTTGTATGGACAAAATTAGTTTTGATTCAATATTTTTATATTGGGGTAGAGGAGGTCTTATAATTATGAAACAGGGGACACTCAAGAGTTTTTGAATCTATTCATTAATGCTAATTGATCGAATTCAAACCAATATGGCATACGATAGATTGCTAATATGTG